TTACTTCTTACTCCGTGTATTGTAGACGACGCCTTAGTGTTCTCGCCCTAAAGGTATATACGTATGTCGGAACACGAACATTTAAAAAATGAATTAGTCTTTTGTTTCATTGAAAGTAAGGAAATAAAGGACTCTCTATAATTGGTTCATTTTTGTACGCATTATGCGTTATGTGTTATGCAAGATCCTGTGTTCCTGCCCTTGTGAAAAGCCCATTAATCTACATTGGTGGAAATGAACAAGAGCGACGTGTACGTGATCACTGATCAGCCTGATCACGTGATACGGAGACTCGTCAAGACTCGTTGAAGCGCAGCTTGGTGCAGCGCGCGAACGCTCGCGCTCGGTTCGGACTTGGGGCAATCGGGCCGCGTCGGAGGTGGTCGGAGCACGTTCGGCTCGAATGAGAATGAGGTGGGGCGGCCGGTACGGCAGGGCAGACAGAGTGCATCAGCAGTGCGTCGACGTTCGCCGTTCGGCAATCGGCGCCGTGGCCGCCGTATAGCCGTATAGCCGTATTGTTGGATTGTTACGTGTGGACTGTGGACAGTGGAGTGGGTAAATCGAGAGGGGCTCGCTTGGCGAGCCGAGCGGAGCCGAGCGAAGCCGAGTGCCGACTGACTGTCTGTCTGTCTGTCTGTCCTGTGTGCGGAGTCAGCGGAGTCAGCGGAGTGCGCCGCCGGATCATAGCGCCGAGCGCGAGGAGCAGCGAGGAGCAGCTCCGAGTCCCGAGTCTCCGAGCAGCCGCGGTGCGGTCGTATGCTGCTCGTGTGTGCCATAGGGGGCCACTGCCGGACGCGACACGGATACGGACACGGACACGGCACGATCACACAGTAGCGCGCGTTCGCGTTCGTTTACAAGATGGCAGACGACGGCCCGTCCGCGGCGGAGGACGCGACCGCGGCGGTGGCAACGGGACTGGGGGACGGTGATTCTCGCGTGACAAGGGAGCGGCACAAACGCGCGGACGCCACCACGCTGATCGTCACGTCGGGCCAGGACGCCTCCTCATCCTTCGCGGAGCGCGTCGGCGGACACGAGGACGCCTCGAGCAGCGCGTCTCCGTGCGAGCTCGACGATCATCATTCTCACCAATCTCACCACGAGCGTCGTCTTCATCATCGTCATCAACATCAGCATCAGCAGCCTCGTCATTCTTACCACCATCATTCATCGTCTCATCATTGTAATCATCACCACTTTAATCCTCATCGCCATCACCTTGCTAATCATTGCGACAACGATCGCGTCAGTGGTGATTCTCCATCGCCCGTCGACGCGACTGGGCCAACCGCGAGCGACGGCGAGGAAGAGAACGGCGGCGGCGACGGCATCGGTCTCGGAGCGCCTTG